CTCCTGCACACCGCCCACTGGGGATGTGCCCGCAACCAAGGTACATGCCCTTGACCAGAATCAAACCTGGGACCCTTCAGTCCGCAGGCTGATGCTCCATCCACTGAGCCAAACCGGTTAGGGCTCTACTCAGTCTTAAAAACTCAGCTTAGATGTCACTTCTACTGGGAAGCCATCCATAACCTTCCAAAACTGTGTTTGGGAGGTCATGTAAAGACATTTTTGTTTTTAGAATGTTCACTGTTTCATCCCCTGTGCCTAGAACTTACCTTGCTTGTGGTGGAAACTCAACTCAAATTTACTAAGTGAAAGTTTCCCACGGCCCTCTGGAATCCTTCCCCACAGAACTCATCATATATATAATAGATGCCTCTTTCCTCTTCTGTCTCCCCAAGGAGAGTGAAAGCTCTGAGTCAGGAACTATGCCTTCTTGGTCAGCATTTTAGCTTGGGCCCCTGGTCTGACTCCTGCATGTCCTGATGGTATGTTTATTTGTGATGAACAAGGACTGGGCACTGAGGAGAGGAAACGGTGGCCTGAGCTAAGGGGGAAGGCACTCTACTGAGAAATAGGTTTACTTTCGACACAAAAGCATGTCAGAGGTGCCAAGAAAGGATGGGAACCCTCAAATTCGACATCAGACACCAACCACAAACTGAGTGCAGGCTCCTGCGCACAAACTCACACCTCACTGTGATCAGGGGTTGAGGGATCCCCTTTGGTGCACAGGCTCAATTCACCAGGCAACTCTCTCTACCTTCTTTGCCACAATATCATGTGGAACAAAGCCGGTGGGTGCAGTGTGGAATGTGACCTATGCATGTGCTACAGGAGTTAGGGGATCATAGAGAGGGCATGGGCCATACATGATTAAGAGCGTGTGCTTTGAGGTGGCAGGGGTGTGGTGTGGCACTTGATAGATGGCCAGGACTTTAGAAACCAAGGGTCCTCTGCCTGTTCCTTAGCCAGGCCGTAGTTAAAGGTTATGAGAGCTGACTTTAAGATGACTGCCTCAGTCTGGGTGACTCTCACCATCTCTCCAGTGCTCTGTGGGTCTGGAACATTTCTCAAACACCCAGCTGACCTGCTGCTCACCCCTCCGTCTGGGTTTGTCACCCTGCCTCCCATGATCCCAGCTAGGGAATTGGACCTCCCCCACCCCACCTGCAGAGCCACTAGGCTGCAACCCACTAGTCCTAAGTTACATCACACATAGAAAGGATGTTTTCCTGCCCAGAGTATGGTAGAAACTCCATAAGTACTCACCATGGGTTGAGTAAAGCCTAAAAAGAGCACCTGCACTTTTGAGGGAGAATTTAAATATATATATACAGTTAATTTATTTCCTCTCCTTTCTCCTCCTTCAACTATAATTCTTTCTCTAAGAAAACATAGGAAAGGAGAAATGGGTCAATCCAAAAACAAAAGGATAAAGGAAAACAGACACTGTCACAATCTGTCAAAACCCTCATGCTGTGACCTTGAAATTAAAATCAACACTCAGGAAACTAGATTGACTCAATAACCCCTAAAAATTCAAGCAAGCTAGAAAGTAACCTATAATTTCATCATGGCATGCTTGGAGGTTTTCGGATAAATTGTATGAGGAAAGGCAATTGGGCAGAGGAAATGCAAAGAGCAAGATGTGCAGAGGATGAGAGGGAAGAGAAGGAAGGCGGAAGGGAGGCAAAGTGAAGAGCCAGAGAGGAAAGAAGGATGGGAATAAGAGGGAATACAGAGGGAGGGGAGGGAGGAAGGGGGTTGTGAGAATTAGGGGAAGAAACACACAAAACAGGAGGGAAGGGAGAGATAGAGGAGAGGGGACAAGGAGGGGGGATAAGTAAAAGGAAAAATGGTGAGCAGAAAGAAAAGAAAATGAGAAAGCAAGAGAATAAAAAGATAGAAGAGAAAAGAGAAAATATACTTTTAAATGTTCAGGGTTAGAAAGAGGAGTGAAGACCATCAGGGTCTTCCTCAGCAGCCCCGGGGATGGTCCTCCAGCCTGTGTGCTCACACACCTTCGATGGCAGAAGACTCTCTCATGAGGGAGCAGAGGGGAGAGAGAGGTGGGGGCAGCATAAAGTAGAGGGAGGCCGTGGGTCCAGGTGCCTGACCAAGACTTGAAGCACAGCAGAGGCAGCTGGGAGAGGGCGTCCATTAGAGGGCGAGGGGGAAAGAGGACAATGCAAAGATGCCAACAGCAGAGCCAGCCATCTCCATCCTCACCCCACGGGAGACCAAATTCCTGACCTGTCTAGTAAATCCTGCCAGGCCTGGCTGTGGGCTGGCCCAGGGCAGCATGGGGACCTGCCTTTTGTGAGATTGCAGAAGGCCAATGAGCTTCTTGAGGTTGAGCACAGTTGCCCCTGGGCTTTCAAGGATACAGGCTTCCTCGGTGTAGGGCACCGCAGCAGTGGTGCCCCCGCTGATGTAGCTGTAGAAGGAGACCTCCAGGGTGTAGCAGGAGGAAGTGTGGTCCAGGAGGCCACCGAGGAAGCGGCGGCCAGTGCCTGCCTTCACGGCGTCTCGGTTGAAGGATGTGCTGGACTGTGAAAGACAAGAAGGAGCAGAGAGTCAGGGCAGGACGCCTGGGCTACCAGACTTTGCACACACTACCTCTCGGCTTCAACTTCCTCATCTGAAAAGTGGGATATTAGTCCCACATCACAGGTTTAGTAGGATGACTGATTAACTAAATAAACAGCATTAAAACGAAAGCATCCGGCAGAGCTCCTGGGGCACAGTAACTGCCATTCAACAAATACAGGGGTGGGAAAAAGTAGGCTTACACTCATGCATATGGGAAACACTGCTTTTGCCCATCCCTGTATTTGTGAAAATCTGAATGGGGAACAGATGGAGCAAAGGAATGTGGACAGAGAATAAGAAGCAATATGTAATACTATATATAACCCTTCAAACAATAAAATAAAACTTGAAAAAAAGTACTTGTACTATGATGAAAATCAGAATTAAAATTTGGGCAGTGATTTCAACTTAATCATATTGTTTCCCCTATAGCAGTATCTCATTTGGGCTTCAAAAATAACCCCCTTGGAACTGTAAATTAGTGCAGCTACTATGGAGAGATTCCTTAAAAAATTAAGAATGGAGCTACCATATGATCCAGCAATTCCTCTTCTGGGTATGTACTTGGAAAATTTAAAAACACTTATTTGGAAAGATAGATGTACCCCTATGTTCATTGCAGTATTATTTATAGTAGCCAAGACACGGAAACAACCTAAGTGCCCTTTGACAGGTGATTGGATAAAGAAGATGTGGTACATACTGAGCCATAAAAAAAGATGAAATACTGACATTTGTGACAACATGGATGGGTCTTGAAAGTATTATGCCAGGTGAAATAAGTCAGATGGAAACCGATTCCACTCAGATGTGGGATATTTAAAAATAAAAGCAACAAATGAACAAACAAAACAAGTGAAAAACCAAAATCATAGATACAGACAACAGAATGGTGGTTAGCAGAGGGGACAGGGGGTGCAGAGAGGACAAAGAGAGTAAACCGGGTCAAATAAAGGTGAGGAAAGACTAGACTTCAGGTGATAAGCACACAATAGAGGATACAGACATAGTAACCAGTGTTGCCCCAATAAATTTAATGGAAAAAAAACACCCCTTGGTGTGTGTGTGATAATTTTGCCCCTCTAAGGTGAGGAAAGGGGTTCAGAGATGGAGCAAGTAAGTGATACAGGAGACTTGAACCAAGGGATAAGTGACTTCAGAACCAACTGCACTCCTTCACAGTGCTCCCCGCCCATCTGCAACTGCCGACCTCACGTCTGACCTCACGTCCAGCCTCACCAGAGAGCAGGGATCATGGCGACTTCTTCACTGAGTGTTCCCACACTCATCACAGTAGGGAGAGGAGGGAGCAAACAGGTCAGTGCCTCAATGCCCCTGCCCTGTTCAGAACATGTGACTTGGAGTCCACTGGCCTTCGTGTCTTCATCCGTAGAGTGGAGGTGATCATAAAATCTCTTTCACAATCCTGGCCGGTTTGGCTCAGTGGCTAGAGCATCGGCCTGAGGACTGAAGGGTCCCGGGTTCGATTTCGACCAAGGGCACATGCCTGGGTTGTGAGCTCGATCCCCAGTAGGGGGCATGCAGAGGCAGCTGATCAATGATTCTCTCTCATCATTGATGTTTCTATCTCTCCCTCTCCCTTCCTCTCTGAAATCAATAAACATATATTTAAAAAATAAAAAAAATCTCTTTCACAGAGGTGTGGTTACAAGGGCATCTGTGCTGACCCTTGAAGCTCTAAGTACATGAAGAGACAGTGGTTTTAATTTAAAAAATGTATGTCTTATTCAGCAGGAAGTAAGAGAAGAAGGCAAAGACAGAAAAGAAAAAGGAGAAAGAAAACAGCAAAATAAGATGGAAAGAAACAGAAATATGTGTGTGTGTTGTGGTAAAAGAAAGGATCAGACAATCATATAATATCAGATCTTAAAGGACTGTTGAAGTCCACACAGTGAAACCCAACTCTCATTTTAGAGCTGGGCACTGAGGATCAGGGAAGAGGGGAAACAGAGGTTGGAGTAGGGTAGATGACTTTGACCCCGGCCTTGAGCTCCTAAGGGGGCTGCAATGCAGGAACATAATCAGGAAGGTCAGAAATAAATCTCCTAGACGGTGCCCCTTTTGTTGGTCCTGGAAACCTTACCCCTGTGAAGGTCTCTGAGGCCTATGGCCCAGCCTCCCAGGGAACCCGGATCCAGGAGACCACAGTCTGCTCTGGAATTGAAGTGGTTTTAAAAAGACAAGGGCTGACCATCCTATAGGGATTCCCACACAAACGAGGATGGCTGCTTTTATCCCAGACCTACCAATAGGGAGCCACCTGCTTGGATTACACCACCAAACCTGAGGGACTTTGCTATATATACCCGACCTCGCTGGGCCATAGGCGTCTTTTAGGTGTAAAAAGGAAACTGGGCTAAATAATCTCCCCCATCCTCTTGTGGTCTGGCATTCAAAGATTCTGAGATTCAAAGTGCATCTAACCTCCTGGAGAAATTTATCATCTCCACCAATGTCCAGGCCTGAAGCAACAGGCAAGGCCAGTGTTCATCAACCTCAAAACTTGCCCTCACCTTTGTGCTGCGCCCCCCTCCTCCCACCTCTGGCCACATGGGAAAAACAGGCCTCAGAGATTTGGTATCAAAACAAAGGCAACCTCACAAACTATCTCCCTTGTCCCCACGCCACATGCTGACTCCCCTCTTTATCTTCTCTCCTGGTCCTTTTCCAATATTGCTTTTGCTGCAAATTATTCTAAACACCAGCCTACAGTCTCTCAGGCCTCCTCGTCATGTGAGGTGGGTAGTAACACACTCCTTGGGCCTGCTGAGGTCTTTTCTGCCTGCAGAGTGCAATCTATTGCTGAATTTGTCCCCCGAGGAAGCTATGACGCAGGCAGGGCAGGAAATTGTCACCCACAAATTACTGACAAAGAAACTGAGGCACAGAAAGCATCATGAAGGAAGAGAATGGTGCACGTGTAACCCCTTCTGCAGACATGACAGGCTCCTACTGATGGAACTGGGACAGGTGAAAGCCAACCCGGAGCAGGCCTGGCATGTGCTGGGTGCTCAGTTGCTCAGTGAGTTTCTTGTCTTAATGCTGGAGTCAGATCAACTACACAAATGCCAGCTCCTCAGACAAACCAAGCTCTGGCTGTCACATCGCAGTCTCCCTCCCCACTGGTGAGGAGTGGCCTGAGGGCAGGCACGGCTTGTTACCTCTGTCTTTATCATCCACATCCATGCACAACCTGGTACAGAGCTGGTGTTCTGTGAATGTTAAACCAAACTGCACTGAGGGAGAGAAAGAGCGGGAGGGCTGAGGGAGTCCTGGCTTACATAGGAGAAGTCCTCAGCGTTCTGGCAGAGCAGCTTGGGGAAGATGGCCTGCCTCTGGAAGCGCTCCTCATCCTCAAAGACATTGCCGTACATGAAGCCATTCATCATGGTAGAGTGAGCATGGATGTCGATATAGAACTCCAGGCTTGTCTTCTGTTGAGAGAGAGGATAACAAATGAGAAGTCTGGGGTCACAGAGCACACTTTAAAGGAACCAGACATACCACACACACACACACACACACACACACACACACTCACTCACACCACATGCACACTCACGCATGCACACCACACACATGCACACACACACCACACATGCACACACACAGCACAACATAACACACATGCACACTCCTACACATATCACATGCATGTACTATGCACCACATACACACAAATGCATACATGCACATACATGTACATACACTTTCAAGCTGGCCCTACCTGTCAGCCCATTTAGCAACCATTTGCAATGTGATTGGAGGGGTTGAGACAGTGAAAATCAATTTCTGCTCACATATAATACCACCTGCCCTCGGGTCTGAGAGCACTACCTCTGTAAAGTTCTCCGAAAGAAGTGAGGTTTTTGTTGGTCAAGTCCTGAATAGTTAATCACTCAAGACTAAACGCAGTAGCAGAATTTGTTTCTCTGATTAATTAGAAATGCGTTGAGGCAACATAATTATGTTTACATTGGGCCTGCTTATGGTTTTGCCCTGACTGGCCATTTCTAGCTGAGGGCTCTGGAGTAAATCATGGTCCTACTTTGAGCCTCCGCTTCCTTATTTGAAAAGTGATTGTTTTAATTCCAACCTCAGAGAGTTACAGTGAGAATCAAATATCACAATAATGGTTACTATTGTTTACTACATATTTAATGCATGCTGACACAATTCTGGGAACTTCACCTATAACCTCTTAGTTAATTATTTTATTTAACCTCATTTCATGATGCCACACCTACTCCCCAATAGTATATACATAGTGCCTGGAAAAAACACACCTTGTGACTAGCATTTCTCTGCTCTCTGCTTACACATGTTTAAGGCACTTGCTCGCTTGGTGTGGTTTATCTGTTACCATTCCCTCTATGAGCTCCCTGGAGGTAGGGGGTTGTCTGTAAAGAGCCCCAGGCCTGTGCATCAAGGCTGCTCAGCATCTGTGTGCAGAACTCAACAAGAGAGAAGACTCCAGACATGGTAATGAGCTGGCAGGAATTGAGGAATATTTAGCTCCTCAGATCTTCAATGTCGCTCAAATTCAATTTTGTCTTCCTATACATCAGTCCAAGTCATGGCTATTAGTCCTTCCTCAGAGTATCAGAGGCCCCCAATGGGGAGTGGACTTGCCCAAGCTCATGGCATAACTGGGACTGAAACCCAGTTTCTGGACACCTGGCACAGTTAACTTATCAACATCAAGTGGCCAGTGCTGGAAACAGCCAAGGCAACACCTGGCCACATGCCTGTCCTTTTTCTAGAGTGTGGTCCTGGGAAAAAAGGAAAGTCCACGCTTTGAAGGATTGTCCCTCCTTGGGACACTTTCCAATGAAGTTAAAACCAAATGAAAACCATGCTGCTTCTAGAACAGCGGTTCTCAACCTGTGGGTTGCAACCCCTTTGGGGGTTGAATGACCCTTTCACAGGGGTCGCCTAAGACCATCGGAAAACACATATATAATTACATATTGTTTTTGTGGTTAATCACTATGCTTTAATTATTTTCAATTTGTAACAATGAAATTGGGGGGCGGGGGGTGACCAACATGAAGAACTGTATTAAAGGGTCACGGCATTAGGAAGGTTGAGAACCTCTGTTCTAGAATGTGGGCCTGATGACTGTCATTTCATTTGCCTCAGAGTTGGAGTGAAGCATGACGCCTTGCCGCACTCCCTGTTTCCTGGGTAGCATAAGCTGTCTTTTGAGACATATAAGATGCACTGCTCTGTGTGATATTAAACTCATCATTTTCAGCTTTGGTGGTGGAATACACAATGATTCAACAGCAGCCCTATAAAAGTCTTCTTGCAATTTTATTTTCTTCAATTGCTTGTCCTTTCCTCTGAGCTTTTGATGAGCTGCAGAGGAAAGGAGGAGGTAGAGAGATGACTTAGGAAATGTAGGAGGAAAAACTGCACTTTACATCTCGGGATGTCAGAGCTAGAGAGGGCCTTGGACACCAGCTTCTCCGACCTTTCCCGGGTCGGCCCTGAGTGGAGAGGCTGTTCGCTGCAGGCCCACCAGTGAATTGGTGCCGGAGCAAGAACTAGACCCTGGCTCTTCTGATAATGATCCTGAAGTGGCTTCCACTGCCCCATCCTGACACCTGGCACCTAATATGGTTTAAATGACAGCAGATGAATTATATTGATTGATTTACATGGCTCAAAAGTAAAAAATATAAATATACGAAAGTATTTACAGTGAAAAATCTCCTTTCCACTGCTGTCCTGCAAACACCCAGTTTCACTCCCTAGAAGCAGCTCATGTTACCAGGCTCTCATGTGTCCTTCCAGAGATGGTTTAAACCCAAACATTCCTCCCCCTGCCTCCCAACACACACACATGGTAGCACACCAAGCACACCATTCAAAGCTACTTTTTAATCTCTTAATATGTCGTGGAGGTATTTTTTCTAAGTACATAACAACCATATATTCTTTTTAACAACCATATATAATTATTTCACCAGTCTCCTGTTGATGAACATTTATTTTCAACCGTTTCTTGTTACAAATAATGTCTTAGTGATTGACTCTGTATATATACGATTTCACACATATACAATTATATGTAGGATAAATTCCTAGAAGAAGAATTTCTGGGTCCTCTGCGCTTTTGCAATTTGATAAATATTGATTAACCTCCTTGGGAGGACCAATTTACACTCCTACCAATATATTACAATGTCTCATTGTCAATTACCTTGATGAGATGGGTGAAATCAAGTTTTTGTGTGTGTGTGTGTGACCTCGTCTTTTTTTTTAATTTTTTTTATTGATTAAGTTATTACATATGTGTCCTTATCCCCATGTTACCCCCTATCCTCCCCACTCATGCCCTCACCCCCCTGTTGTCTGTGTCCATTGGTTAGGCCTATATGCTTGCATATAAGTCCTTTGGTTGATCTCTCCCTCTTGCCCCACCCTCCCCTACCTTCCCTCTGAGGTAAAATTTGCCAATTTGATGGGTGAAAAATGACATCTCAGGTTAGTTTTAATCTGAATTTCTCTAAGTATAATTACCTTTTATTATATGGTTAAGTATCTTTCCATATGTTTAAGAACTATTAGTATTTTCTTTTCTATGAGTTGCCTGTCCATTTCCTTTGTTTTAAAAACTGAATTGTTGGGCTTCATTCTTATTGATTTATAGAAACTAGGTGTTGGGGAAATTAGCCTTTGTGTGCTGTACAAAAATATTTTTGCACAATTTGTCATTGTTTTTGACTTTACAGGTACTTTTTGCCATGCAGAAATTTTTAAATGCTAATTTTTTACACAGATTTATCAATATTTTCTCTTGTGATCTCTGGGTCAAATTTTTCCTTTTTTCCTCTATTACTTTTTCATATTTAAATATTTTCTTTCAGTTTTAATTTACATGGTGTATGGTGTGAGGTAAGAATTAAACTTCATTGTCTGATACTACTTATTAAATTGTGCACATCTTTTTACCACTGACTTGAAAAGCCATCTTTACCAGATCATTTTTTGTATGTATTTGGGTTTATATTTGGCTTTTAGTCTATTCTAATCATTTTTCTATGCATGTGTCAGGACTATACAGTTTTGATTATGTTAAGTTTATACAGTATTTTAATATGTGGAAGGCTTCTTCTCATTATGCTTCTTTCCCTAAATTACCCTGTATTTTCTTGCATATTTTTCTGTACGATCTTTATAAGAGTTTAGTTTTCTTGCTCCCCCAAATTCTGTCAATATTCTCAACATTTGTGATATAATTATATTAGATTTTCATACTAATGTAGGAATAATTGGTTCTTATGACTTTAAATCTTCCAATCCAATCTGAGAATATATTTTGAATATCCACTTATTCAATTTTTGTGGGGGATTATAGCAGGAAGTTTTAAAGTTCTTTTGTTTGTTGGTTTTTTTTCCATATAAACTCTGAACATTTCTTTTGATTCCAAGGCAGTTTATAAAGTATGTGATGCTTTCTTCCATTTGTAGTTCTTTACAAACATAAAAGCTCTTGTTTTTAACATGTTAAACTTTTACCCAGATAATTTACTAATTCTACTATTATTTATAAATTACTCTTTTGATTTTCTTGGATTTTCATTTGTTTACCTATTCATAAAATAATCACTGAGTGCCTACTATGTGTCCGACAGTATTGTAGGCACCGGGGTATGCACCAGGGAGTGTTCTGGGCATTGGGGATACAGCAATGAACACAACAGAAAACTCCTAATCTACAAGATTTTACATTCTATAGAGAAGGAAAATAAATCCATTAATAAATATACATTATATCAAGAGGCACTTATGCCATGGAGACAAATAAAGCACAGTAAGGGAACAGAACATAATAGGGGTTCTGGAAGAACAGAACTTAAATGGAATCAGGGAGTTAGTTTTGAGGATATAGGTGGAAGAGTGTTCTAGGAAGAAGAAGAAATAAATCTAAAAGTCACATGCACTTGGCATGTTTTAGGAACAGTGAAGAGGTGAGGATGTATGGGAACATGGAGTGAATAAAGGGGACAATATTTTCCAGGTTTGTAATCTTATCACCTGTATGTAGTAATTTTATCTCTTCTTTTTCACTTTTTCTGCTTCTAATTTTTTTTCATGTCTCACTGCATTAGCTAGCGCCTCCAAAACAATGTGAAAGTTTTAGTAATTTCTAAGAACCCTTCCCACTCTGAGATGCTAAGAGTTGAATGAAATTAAAGCTGAAAAGGGTCTGGGTACCTGGATAGAGTCTGAGTTTCAGTTCTTAGTTCTTTTTTTATTCTTTATTACACATATTTAGCACTATTCTGGAAATGCCAAAGACATAAACACTGATTCCAACAATATCCCGATTCTGTGTTGTGCCTACACTGGCTTTACAGACTTTTACTGGCCCAGTTAGAGTGGAGCATGGAAGGCAGAAGCAGGGCATCTAACTTCGCTTCTA